TTTCTTTCCTTTTTTTAACTGTATATTTGAAACTCTATTTGAATCAAATCATAACAAAGCTATTCAACACTGTTTTGTTTTCTCTGCATATCATCATCAAGCTCGCCAATTTAAGGAGATCGAGTCTGCGTCTTTACACTGTTTCTGGACGTATGTTTGGTACATCATTTGGCTAAGCAAAACCAATGTTGCATCTAGTTTATCAACGACCACTTTACAACAAACCAAATCAAATCTGAGTCTCATTGCTTTATGGAAAAACACATCACTTTTGTTTCACAAAACCAGAGAAATCGATCGATTAGCTGTAGAAAAACAGACTCTTTCTTGAAACTGTAACGTACTTTGAAAGACATTACTTTGGCATGTGAAGAACACAACGTAGACACTTTCCTTCTCTCATTAGCTCAAAAGCTTCGTTGATATCATCAAATGCCAGGTTATGCGTGACCAATTCATCGATCATAATCTCCTGCGCCACAAAAGAGTGAAACAAAAAAAGTGAAAAAATTCATCTATTAAAAGAGTGATTTAGCTTATGATGTTGTGCTTATGTATATACCTTGTTCATGTACTTTTCAATGAGTGAAGGAAGATCAGATTTAGGCTTCCAACCACCAAAAAGAGTCCCTTTTAGAGATTTACCAGAAAGAAAGAGTCCGTAATGAGCTGAAACTTCAGGCTTCACTTTCGGCACACCTAGAGTAACGGTCATACCCCATCCCTGAGATATCCACGTTGAAAAAGTTCAAAGGCATTTTGTATACAATATAATGAGCAAAATGCAAACAAGGTGAGAGCAAATAGAACAGAAAGCTTACGTCCGAGCACGATTGTAAAGCAGTTGTAGCCATTCCAGTATCACCGACACATTCAAATGAGAAATCCGCACCTCCTCCTGTCATTCTCTTGATTACCTATAATCATATTTGTAAATCCGTGCTTATGATGTAACCAACATGGTAACAAAGTTTTATCTAAATCATCAGTATTAAGTTATGATAAGCACAAACCAGAGATACTAGCATTACCTGTGGTATGGGTTCAGAGTGGTCATTTGAATTGATGAAATCCGTGACGCCAAATGTCTTGGCTGCAAAAAATAAGAAACCCTCAAAACTAGTCCAGTAACGCTGAGCAGTAATACATATATCTTAAAAAGATATGATATACACCTTGTTCAGCCTTAGCTGGGTTTATATCAACCCCAATGATTTGAACTGCTCCTCTGAGTTTAGCACCTTGAGCAACCTGCTCGTAAGAGAGATTAATCCCACATTAAATCCCATTAAAACAATGAACGTAGACGCATCAAAAAATCTGTATCTTTACTTACCGAAAGACCAACAGTTCCAAGACCAAATATCACAACACTTGAACCTTTTTGTACATCAGCAACATTCCATGCTGCACCAAGACCTAAGATATACACTCTAGATTCTCAGTATTAACAGCAAATAATTTTTTGAAATTGCATTATTGTTTCTAAATAGTTTTAAGCTACCTGCAGCTACTCCACAGCTCAGAAGACATATTTTGTGCAGAGGCGCCAGAGGGTCAACTTTGACAGCACAACCAGAGTGAACCACCGTGTACTCGCTGAAACTTGAAACCGCGCAGTAATGGTAAACAGGTTTGCCTTTGATGAAGAAGCGTGTCTTCTGATCACTATGCATCAAACCTTTCCTCTCCATTCCAAGAACCTGACACATGTTACTTTTCCCAGAGATACAATGCCTACATGATCCGCATTCTCCAGTGAATACAGCAAGCACGTGATCTCCTTTCTCAAACTCGGTTACACCTTCCCCTATGCTCTCCACTATACTGCAGAAACATCCATGGACAAAGTGATAGGATTCAAACCAGCAAACTCTTTTCTTTATTCAATTCACAAAGAGCTACACCATAGAAGCAACTTGATTAACGAATAAAGTCTCTAACTCTAGACCAATGCCTAAACCAAGACACTACACAAATCCAAAATGACCGCAACTCTACTATCTTTTAAACATCCAGCTCTCAACTAACTGGCGTAAATCGCATACTCACAGGGAATTAACACCGCAACAATGTTGCTCAATCAAACTAAGAACGACAATAGAGCACTCAATACTACATCAAATTCTACATATTCGAAATTAAGTTAAATTTCTTAACTTGTTCTTAGGATTGCATAATCCAAAGAATGAGTTTGTAACTTACCCTGCAGCTTCATGGCCAAAAATTCGGGGCAAAAGAGACTGTACCAACAAATGGAGACTGCATCAGAGACTCTTATAGGGCCAAATTCAAAAGGAGGTTACTATAAAGAAGAGAAACTAAAACCTGAGATTCCCAAGCAGAGAGGTCGCTACGACAGAGAGATGTACAGACAACTTTGATTCTAATCTCAAGAGGTTGAGGTGGACTCACTTCCACTTCCTCCATAACCAGTGGCTCACCAGCACGCCATGCCACAGCCGCTGCACAATTCCTCTTAACAGTTTTATTACCAAAATCCCTAAACGAAGAAAAAAAACAAAAAAACCTTTCTTTACCTTTGCAGGTTATGACTCGAGGTTGGTCGGAGGAGGACAAAGACGACATTTTTATCCCAATTTACTTGCTTCAATCACAAATGAAGGAACCCAAGAGAGAAGGAGATTGAAGAAACAGAGCTTCACCTAACACCGAATCACCAACCACACCATAAGCGAAGTGATCGATTACCATTATAAAAAATTGCTAACTTTTTACAGCTTCACAGGTCCCACATTAGATGCAAGTTATTCCCGCCACCAACCCCATCCGTCAAAATTCGACTTTCAGAATCAGATTTTACTGGTTTGAGTTTCTTCTGCGCTCGACATTTTAGTGGAATTTGCACAAAAACTGCAAAATCACGGACAAGGACATGACTGAAATACTACTCCTTGTAAGAATTTTGACAGACAGGGTGAAAACTATTATTATTGGGCATAATAGTTAAGTCAGTTGGGCTTTTCTTATTGGGATTTTTGCCAAAAATGATGGAAAAAAATTTTAAAAAATGTCATTTAATTTAGAACTGTCGAAAATATGCTACAATTCACTGTTCATAAAATAAAAAAGACATTTATATCCTTAATTATGATTTTATGATATACATTTTCGTCCACGATGTTATCGTATTTGTCCACCGTCACCGTTAATATTCACAGTCACCGCTCCGTCATTATCCACCACTGTCTCCATCAACATCCACCGTCCGTTGATTTTGGTCCACCACCGTATTTATCTCTATTTTTTCCACAACCGCTTCCTCTGTCACCGATTCTGTTCACAACCGTTTTTGTCCACCACCGCCGTCTCTGTTTTTGCCAGCATCCCCCGACACTGTTTTTGTCCACGGTCACCGTTAGAGAGAGAAATCAAGCGAGCAAAAGATCCGATAAAAGAGAGATAGAGAGATAAATCCGGCGAGAATCTGGAGAGAGAGTGAGAAATCCGGCCATATTTG